CTAAGCGACCGTCCAGCCATTTGACGGTCTGACCAGTAGCTATGATGGGCAATGACCACCAGCAGGCAGACGTTCAACACAGGAGCTGCCAATCTGCGGTGACTTCCCAGCTGCAGTTTTCAGTTGACGCACCCAGAACCAGAGAGGAGGGAGCACAATTCCAGGGTGCGTCACCTGAGAACCACCCTCTCACAATACAGGACTCCTCAGGGGATGTAGGAGAGCCAGTTTCCGCCCGATCCCTGCAGGCCAGGCTGAGGGACCCCACCAGTGCACTAATCCGTGCACTGGGCCTCTAGTATATATATAAAAAGGTTATTATGTTATAAGGAAGAATAGTCAAGATCTGCACATATTTTAAACCATTTTATTACAGAAATTTCAGACAAAACAACATAATAAACCCTATCATCCTCTTTAATAATGATTAACTTGGGGCCAATTTTGTCTCATTTTCTGCCCTCCAATTATTATCAATTAACCTCATATAATTTCATCCATACATATATTTTAGAATCTCTTTTTTGATATATATAATGATATATATATATATATCATTACCTCACCTAAAATTAACAATGCTTTCTTACATAATCAAATATTCAGTTAGTGTTCACATTTCTAATTGTTTCACAAATGTTAAAAGCAGCTTATACTTATTTTTGCTCTGAATTTGACTTTAAGTAAAGTCTATGCATTATAATTGATTGATATTTCTTTTATTTGTTTTAACCTTATGGATTTCTTTCTCTTTTCTTCTCTCTACTTTCAATATATTTGTTGGAGAAACCAGGTGGGTTTTTCCCCTGTAGGTTTCCCACAGTCTTAGTTTTGTTAGTTTCAGTCATTGGTGTCACCTAATCTTTTCTGTATGTTCTGTAACGTCATAGTTGGATTTAAAGGCTGGCTCAGAATTGGGCTCATATTTTGTAAATCAAGACTAATTCTTAGGTAGTGCACTTTCTTCCACCATGAATGAAGCATAGGATGTTTGGCTGTCTCTCATTTATTGCTGTTAGCAGCTGATAATAATCAAAGCCTATGTCTATTAAATTATTTGAAGTTGCAAAATGGTGATATTCTAATTTTATCAGTTATTTTCTAACTTGCCAGCTGGAATACTGAAAAAGAAAAATCTTCCTCAAAATAATGTTTGGTTACCCATTGGCAAAGGAGATCAAAGAGAAAAGAAGATAAAAGCTTGGTTCTCTTTAATCATTCGTGTGTTGTTGTTTTTTAAATAGTGAGTTGATGCAAAGCAACCTACAATGGTAAATAATACATTTTGTTTTCTTTTGTATTATTGTGAATTCGTGAGTATTTACCACGTTTGATGTGTTTCAATCAATTACAGTTTATTAAACTCATTAATGCTCAGATCATCTGACATTTGGTCAGTTGGCTCTGACTCTGTTCGGACTTCTGGCTCACAAGGACTCTTACTAGGCCCTTGTGGTTTCCAGGTTTCCTTGCTATCTGTTACTAAAATGCTCCAGGCTCACCTTCCATCCCTGGGCAATGTTTATACACCAGGCCTAGAACTGGTCATTTGTCCAAGAAACCCTGTGTTATTTTGTTTTGCTATTTGTTTGGGGTTATTTTAGTGGTGAAAAAATGTAACAGTGTGGAAAAGTTGTTGCATTTAATATATGTAAGTAAATAGG